GGACTGACTGTGCACATTGGACTGCCTTCTTCTGTTTAGATGTTGGCAGGAAATTCTGATGGAGGGAACTGAAAAGTGAAAGTGTCAGGGGGCATCAATGAGTAGAGTGATTGGAAAGTGGAGACTGTCTCCTCTTTATAGGTCAGACTCCCTCAAAATGCTTTGGCAAAACTCCTTCCTGCTTTTTGCTTTTGAAAGGGGCAAACAAGAGACTGATTTTATTATTTTTTCTAGCCTCAGACTTTTATAATTATAATCTATCTCAATTAACACTCTTCAAACTCTCAAATTGCGGTTTGAGTTGCACCCCAAGAAATTAAACAATTAAATGTGTTTTTGACTATATTTAATAATACAGTACTGCATATTTGAAAGTTGCTAAGAGAGTAGATCTTAAAAGTTCTCTTCACAAGAAAAAAATTTTTGTAACTCTATATGGTGACAGATGTTAACTAGACTTATTGTGGTGATCATTTCCTACTATATACAAATATCGAATCATTATGTTGTACACCTGAAACTAATATAACCTTGTATGTCAATTATACCTCAATAAAAAAATATTTTTGCCCAGTGCACTTCAAAATCCAACATCAATTTTATTTTTTTTAATTAACTTTAGAACAGCAAGAAGATAAGAGCTTTCAGGAAATCTTTTTATTTTAGCCTATAATTTTTAGAAGTTCAAAGAATGATTTTCCCCTCTTAGATGTGTTATTTTTTAAATCAAGAAATGGAGCAGAATGCTAGGTTTTACTCAGTTGAGTGAAATTATTATTTATGGATCTGAATCAACCTGTTTGAGAAAGTACACTCATTGCCCTTAAGGGTTGTGTTACTCTGGTGTGTCCTGGAAAGTAAATGCTAAGTTATTGTGACAGGTCCCTATGGGGCTTTCTGGTGCCTGCCACATGTCTGTGGTGGTGGTTGCGGAGGAGGGGCTGCACCAGGTGGTCAGAAAGGCGAACTCAGAGTGACCACATGGAACTATGCAGGTTGTGCTCAGCACAAGGGTGCTTGGCCACAAGGATGCAAGGGGCTAGAAATCTCTCGTGTGCCTAGTTCACCAGGCTCTGTGCCCTGATACAGGGCTATACCCACCCAGAGAAAGGGGCCCTCTTCTCGTTTCCACAAAGATGTCACATGGTCCAGACTCAAAGGCTCCTTAAGGCACCATATGGACCAGTGGTGGACCTAGGCATAAAGACACGTTGTGATTTGTAATTATCATTTTCTTTTAATAATAGTTTAAAAATTGCTATCAAATTAGGGCACAGGGGATAAAGATTATAAAATCTGAAAATCCGAACATGGGCACTTCATTACTGAGGTCAGGGAGATTCTCTGCTCCGAGACTCCTCATTCGGACTGTATATCTTGGCACAAGATCTGTTTAGTTTCACTAGTAGCTGAATACCATATGCAAAGCCTGTGTGTGTGTGTGGGTGGGTGTGTGTATGTGTCTAAATGTGGACTTCAGTTCCCATTAAAACAAGAATCCTAAACTTTCTGACCTCACATTACAGAGGAACAGTGTCTAGAGCATTTCTTTGTCATAAGTACAGACGGGAAGACCCTTCCATGCTTTCGGACTTGTTCCCCTCCTGTAGTCTATAAGGTGATCCCCATGATAAACCTCACGTGATTTGTACATTGCCCTCCTCTGCAGTGTGCACCCCCATGTGTAAACTTTCTCACTACTTGTAAAAAATACTTTAACATATGGCTGTGAAACAGGGAAAGGTTTTGTTTCCTAGAAGTGGGCAAATTTGTTTACTGTATGTATTGCTTAATGTATAATAATGTATGTGTTTTATGAAGGCCTCCTTTTAACTTAATTACCTCTTTAACAAAGACCTTATCTCCAAATACGATTACATTCTGAGGCACTGGGGTTAGGGCTTATGAGCTCAGTATACGAATTGGTGGGAGGGGGAGTGGTACAATTTATCCCATAATTATGTATGAACAATTTTTTTCTTGTTCCCCTTAGAGTAAGTAGGCACAAGACCTGTCTTTTATGATCAGAAATATAGTTCTGCATTGTGTTTATAGCTGGTTCCCCTAGAAACAGGAAGGGAACAATGACTTTGGTGGTGGTTCTTCATAGCACCCAGCCTATGGCTTATTTATGTGGCCACGAGCCCCACTCGTTGATCTTCTGTGGTAGGTACACCTGCTGTCTGAATATTTCTTTTCTGATATGACAGAAAGTGTCAAGATCTTATGTGCCAAATACATTAGGTTCTTGGCAGCAGGATCCAGGTCCCAGTGGCCAGCATATTTAGCTAATAGAGTATTTCTGCCCTTCATTTTTCACCATGAATGCTGTTAGGGAATTTATTCTCTCTGTACCTGAGGGTATCTCATAATAATAAAGCTCAGTCAGTGTTGCTCATACTCCCCTTTGGTCAGTGCCTGCAACAATTATATTTGTCCATCCTAAAGTAAAGGAGTTGGGGTAAATTCTCTAACATTCTTGGTTACTTTGCCTTTTGGACTTCATAAATTGTTTTTATGCCTTGCTGGGCTGTGAGTGAGTTCTCGGCTGACCTTGATTTCATATCTAACCTCCATGCCAAGCAGTCAAGGTGGTGCTTCAGGAAGCCAACAGCTCTCCACTGGGGAGAGAGGCTGGTAGCTACCACTTTCTGTCCCTACCAGTTATTTGCTCATCAAGACTGCCCCCAAGCTGAGAACTATTGTAAGTTGTCCAGAACTGCATGATGTTTATGAATAAAAAGATGCCATGCTAAGTATCTATAGAACGGGTCACAAATTTGAGTGTGCATAGAATCACTTAGAGATCATCCTAGAACTACTGAATCAGAAACTCTAGGGGCCCAGCCATCTGTGTTGTTTGCAGCTCTCCAGAAGATTCTGTTGCCTCCTAAGGTTGAGAGCCACTGAGCTACCATCATCTCTCTCTTCCTTTATTTTCTTTTACATAAAATCTTACTGCCCAGTGAAAGAAACCTTAAGCAATTTCCCCTTCCTTCACTGTGGGGTGTAGTTCTCAGGAAAGGTGATAAGCATGCCTGAAAAGATAATTAGAAAGTAGAAGCAGATTTCTGGTAGTTGGTTGTAAATTTTCTTTTGAGTTCTTCATCTCTGTGTGAATCTAAGCAGGATTTCTTCCGAGAACTTTATGAATGGAATTTAGTGAAATTTATTACATTATTCTTTATCACAATGAAACAGAAAGATTAATAGAATTATTTGATTTTCCTTTCTCATTTACCATGGTTCCCTTTTTAGGATCTCATAGTAGGCAATCAAGCTACTGGATGTGTAGATTATTTTGATCTTCTTTCTGTGCCTCCTTACATCTTTTGGTATAACTGCAGCAAGAGACATTCTTTCAGGGACATTCTTAGAAATGGCAGCCTCTTGGCTGACTTTCTGCTGTAGTTTTCCTTATTCTTGCTCCCTGGCAACCAGAAGGCCTTCTAGATCAGTGGGACCAACTCCTTTGGGGCTGGGCTGGGCCAGGAAAGATGAGCAGGAAGGCGTGGTGAAGGCCACCGTCTTGTCGCCACGTCCATAGAGAATCTTTAATTCCCCACACTCTTGCTTTCTCTCTCCTTGCCAGTCATGGGCTTGAGCCTTCAAATGAGTGCAAGCCTTCACCTGATTTAGGACAGGCCTTTATGGTCGTTAGGTCTTGAGAGGGAATCACTGTCTCTGAACATCTTCTTCAAAGGCCGGTTTCTGTGTGATTGAAGTGTGCTTTGCTCTTCATATTATGAATGAGATGTTCCCCCTAAATAGTTTCTTCATGGCTCTAGGAGAGCAATGCAGAGCATGAGACCTGTCTAGGACGAGTGGGAGACCGACAAGCAGATCCCTGATTTCTGGTGCGTGGCGCTGTTCCTTAACCACCCGTTACCTTCCATTGTAGTGCCTCCTAAGTCTTGACCAAGATGCAAGGAAGGCATCTATCACCTACTCTTGCCTTGTTAATCAAAATGCATCCATTCTCTGTCTCATCCACCTGTTGCATAGTAGAATATATTGGATACTAACTTAAGCAGATAGATACAGCTCAACTCCCTCCTAGCTAGAATGTACTTTCCCCTGGTCACATGAGCTGTTGACCTGATTGTAATGCATTTGTTTTAAAGAAGGACCTTAAGAAGTTAGTCCTTTAAACAAATAATATTTATAGTTTTGTGGGATTTTATTTAATTATAAAATCTACAGGGACATTGTAAATATTTGGAAAATGCAGAAAAGCACAAAGAAGTAATTAAAAACCATTTATAATTCCACCGTTTGAAGAAAACTAGTATTAACGTTTGAGGTGTATTACTCAAGTCTTTGTTTCAGGATATCTGTGTGGTAGTGTTGCACAGTCTCCTCTCTTTACCTACATTTGATAGATTGTATGTATTTATGCTTTTCATCCCATTAGATAGCCTTCTAAACTCTGTGATCGTGTAGCGGCCAATACCTTATTATTGTGCATTTAGCTTATTTCTGAATTCCTGTAAGAACAATGTGTTGATGAAAATATAGCAATGAGCTTCACACACCCTTGCATATTTCCTTAGAATAAATGTACATTAGAATAAATTTAAAACAGAAACACATTTTAAAAGGTTTTGATACATACCGTTCAACTGCCTTCCAGAAAAGTTCTGTCAATTTGCCCTCCTACCAGCATTTTTTAGAGTTCTCAGAATCTTCCCCAACTTTTAAAAATTATTATTAAAAAAACAGTTCCTGCCAACTGAGTGGGCAGAAAAAATATTAGTGGTTTAATAGTGAAGTCCTTCATGACTCACTTTTATACATTTGCTCAGGAAGTTTAGTGAAGTGGTTAATGAGGCCACCCTGGAGACCTGGGGTGAAGTGCTCCATCTCTTCTGCTCGCTGGCCCGCTCAGGTCAGGATAATACCTACTTCAGGAAGTCGATCTGAAGATAAAAGTGGGCATCCCATGAAAAGTGCCTAGAAAGACCTGGCATTACGGTAAGCACCCGATACATATTAGCTACTCTTATGTTCTCCAGGATGTATATTTCTTCTTACATGAATTGCCTTTTCATTTTCTTTGTTTGGGCAAGTGGTTTTTTTTTGGCCAGAGTTTTTAATATATTAAGTATGTTAACCCATTATCTGCCATATGTTGCAATTTCCCCCAACTGGTGGTTTGTCTCTAAATTTTGTTCCAAGTGAGGAAATACTTGGCTATCAGGAAACACAGGCCAGAGAAGGCATCGTTTTGATCCAGGCTGGGTCTTTTTCTGCCTCTCGGTCATGCTTCTTGAAGAGTCACCTTCCTCATCATTGAGAAGTTCTGGTATTGATTTTTGTCATCAGACAGCAAAAGTGGCATTTTAAGCAGGATAACTTATATTAAAAATCATCACCATTGAATAAAACTTTGCTTAATTTATGTAAATATGATCATGGCAGATAGATGAGAGTCCACGGTTAATATTTCACCATTTTCCACTTATCACTAAAGATCCAACTTGTTAGCATTCCATTAGTGGTGCTGTACAATTAATTAGCTCAACTTGAGAGAAGCTTTTAATATGAGATCAGGATCTCTGATAGATTGAGTAGCCATTAAGTACTACTGCTTTTCCCTCCTTTTCTTCAAGTTATATAGTAGAAAGAGAATTTAGCCACAAAATCTAGTGTGTAAGGGCAATATGCTCATTATTTTGACATATATACATGCTACTAAAAATGAAATTTTTTCACTTCCCTGGAAAAAATAAGGACATAGAGAACATTAGTTTTCCTTGCTAAGCACGGAACTGATCAGAACCAGCCTTATAAAAACATGGAAATTCTATTTGAGCTGCCGACTTGTTTCAAAAAGCTGTTAACAGTGGACAAATACTGCTTCTGTGTGATGGATAAATGGGAGTGTGTTATATTATTGCTACTAGGCTTGTGTATGGTTGAAATTTTCCACATAAAACTTTTTTAAAAAGCCGTTTCATTAATAATGCTTACCACTAGGGCCCTTGGGAAAAACTGAACATCTTTCATTTCTGATTCTTCATCTGGCGTATGCTATGTGATTGCCACCCAGATGTGTATTTTCCCTCTACTCACCTCACCTACTTATTAAAATTGCGTTAAACACTTAACTATTTCCTTATCTTTTTCACTTTTAATATCTTCCATCAGCATATATTTTGGAATTTTCTTCCCAAATATTTTTAAGCGCTAAGTATTGAGCAAGCTCAAATTGAAGGGCGTATCAGTGATATTGGGTAGAGGTACAAGGAAATTTCAGCTTCCAAATTTCATACTTCCTTATCAGACCTTTGTCTTTATTTTGTTGTTGTTTTATTTCAAGCATGTTTTTACGTTTATAACATTTTTAAGGGAGAACAATTTAAACCATGATTTATATGGTAACTATTTTAAGAGTTATTGTGGTGTGCAAGACTGAGGGCTCTTACCAGTGCTGAAATAGACGATGCTTAGAGTTGGCCACAAAGCCGTGTAAATTGTCCTTATTTAAAAATCTTTATCTTTGCAAGGCTTTTCTTCTTATTTTTCCTTTTTCTGTCTGTTTTGAGTTGCAGTGATTGGAGAACGTAAAGCAAGAAAAAGAGATTGGCTCCCAATGCAATCTAAAATTTTGAATTGCTGGTGAAGGTCTGGGTGCCTGTGATATTGATGCCTGCCTACCGGCTATAACATACGAGTGTGTTCCTGCCTCTCTGTCACGTTAGCCCTTGACTTGTAAGCAAAACGTCATGTAGCATTTAGCTCCTTTAGAGCATTTGTTAGCTACGCCCAAGCATGAAGAACGGGGAGTGCTGAGCCTAACGTTTCTTTAAGCTTCAGTTCCCGCAATGCAAATACTTGACTCTCGCTAGAGGAATTTAACCTCCGTATCTCTAACTTGCAGGCAAAATGAAGGACCGGCTCCCAGAACTTCTGGACTTAACCAGGCAGTGCGACCAGCAGTTCCCAGGCGAAGACGATGACTTTGATGCGCCCCACGAGGACATCGTGTTTGAGACGGATCACCTTCTGGAGTCCCTGTATCGGGACGTCAAGGACCTTCAGAATGAAAACCAGCAGTTGATAGCCGACGTGAAGCGGCTGGGAAAGCAGAATGCTCGCTTCCTCACATCCATGCGGCGCCTCAGCAGCATCAAGCGGGACACCAGCTCCATTGCCAAGGCCATCAAGGCCCGGATCGAGGCCATCTACCGCAAGCTGTGTGCCATGAAGGCGCAGTGCGAGGCGGCCGAGGCCCAGCACGGCGAGCACTCGGCCGTAGCGCGCATCTGGCGGGCACACTACTGCGCGCTCACCCGCACCTTCGAGAGCGCCATGCACGAGTACAACCAGGCCGAGATGAAGCAGCGTGACAACTGCAAGATCCGCATCCAGCGCCAGCTGGATATCATGGGCAAGGACGTCTCGGGCGACCAGATCGAGGACATGTTCGAGCAGGGCAAGTGGGATGTGTTCTCCGAGAACCTGCTGGCCGACGTGAAGGGCGCGCGGGCAGCCCTCAACGAGATCGAGAGTCGCCACCGCGAGCTACTGCAGCTGGAGAGCCGCATCCGCGACTTGCACGACCTCTACAAGCAGATGGCCCGGCTGGTGGAGCAGCAGGGCGACACCATCGATACCATCGAGCTCAACGTGCAGAAGACCCTCGACTACACGGGCCAGGCCAAGGTGCAGGTGCGCAAGGCGGTGCAGTACCAGAAGAAGAACCCCTGCCGGACTCTCTGCTGTTGCTGCTGCCCTTGCCTCAAATAGCAGGCCGGACGGGGCCCCCGCGCCCCACCCCCAACAGGAGTGCGCCGGGAAGCACACTCAGAAAGACTTGAGGGCCCTCTGCGCTGGGGTGAGTTGTCCCAGTCCCTAGCTAGGGACCTCAGTCTTTAGAGAAAGAAGAGACTCGAGGTCCAAGAATTCCAACTCAGCTTGTGCTCTAGAAGATGGTTGATGCCGTCCCCTGTTTCTTCAGTAAGGACGGGTACCTAGCGAAGTTGTGTGAGGTCGTCACGTGGCATTTTGCGCCCTTGCCCTGTTAACAGAAGCCAAATAGGGAACTGACGTTGTCGCGTGCTGTGGGGTAAATGTCCCCGCATGTTTCCTCGTGAAACTCTAGGAGGAAGTCAATTCTGCGTCGGCTGATAGCATGGACTCATTACCAAAAAAATTCATGTACTCCATCCTGAAAGTACCTTGGTTCTGTTCGATTTCACGTGAAATTGACCTTAGGGAAAACCGTATGCCTTTCATTTCTGATTCTTCATCTGGCATATGCTATGTGATTCCTGGCTAGATGTGTATCTTCATTCTGCTCACCTCCCCTACTTATTAAAATCACATTTTACATCCACTGTTTCCTTATCTCCTTCACTTTTAATAACTTCTATCAGAATATATTTTGGGATTTTTTTCCCGAATATTTTTAAGCACTGAGTATTGAACAAGCACTCAAATTGAAGTATCAGTCACATTTTATATATTTTTCATAAATGAAAATTATTTAAAATTTATCTTTTTACTTGATTATTACAAATGCACATATATATGTAATGTAAAGTACTAATATTTGCTAACACGTGTACATAGTGACCAATTGGTTTAACTTTACTTTTGTAAATATGATACATAAACATCAGGAAAAACACTTTTACTGGTTGATGGTGTTGATTTGCTTGTTTTGACTTTTATTTCACTCCTGTCTGCATCTCCATAGTCCAGTTTGGGTCAAAACTTTATTTTGAACAACTCTGTGTTGGTTATGGTGATAAAGACAGATGTCAAAGGCTGAAAATGCACACCGAACGAGAGATAATAAAATGACATTCTTGGAAATGTTACTTTTGTTTTACTGAGGACATTCCTTTCATGCATTGAATGGAGTCATTTAAAATAAAAGAATCTTGTTTTTCAAGTTAGTTTAATAAACATCACACTATAAATATCCCATTTATGTATTTGTCTCTTGATCACTTAAATCTTAGGTTACTTTTTCAATTATTCTTTTAAAAAATTCTACTAGCTGCTTGAGGCTCCCACATCTGGATGGAACTCTGAATAGAGGGGAAAAAAATAAAAAAGAATTCATATGGGAGTGCCTTGCTTTCTCTCCTGAGTTACTGACAATAGTATGGCAAAATCATTGTATTTTGGAGATTTGGTTTCCTTTGCAAACTTTGTAATGCCCTTTCCCACATTTACCATGTTTCCTGTCTTTTTTCTGAGTCAACTCGACTCTTTCTACTCGTTATTTAATAAATGGGCAAGTTTATTCAGCAGTTATAATTCTCAGCTCCTTCAGACAGTGAAATTTTAAAAGGAGTAGAAAGAAGAGTATGTGGACTCTTTGGGACAATCTGACTAATCTGCTTATGACCATAAAAACGTAGCCCTGCGCCTAATTTCCATTTCATGGTTAAATATGAGAATTGTGGAAGCCAAGGCCCACTGGGCTCTTCTCAGATTTCTCCTGAGTTCTTAGCTTACTCCAAGGATAGCTTTCACCTTTGATCTAATTCCCTTTCTCTAAAAAGAAGTCTTCACACAGCTCCATCGCTATATCTTTCATGGTAATGATGAAAATAATAAGAATAATAAACTTTCACATATTGGGGTATATGGGAAGCCATTCTGGTTTAAACCTGATTTGCCCCAAAACTTGTTTTTGCCAGAGCAGCCTGACTTCTGGCCCATCAAACATGCATTGTCCATCTGCTTCAAACATTTTTTCAAAGCAAAGAATGCACTTCTTAAAGATAGGGACGAACGTCTCCCTTCCTCTGATGCCAGTACCAGTACTCTGAAGATAAGCTTTTCTTCCAGAAAAGCCAAGGTCCATTTGACCTGCTGTGTTCGTGCCTCACTGCACGTTTAGCTAACTGCACATGTGTGTGCCAACTGCGGAATATCTGCTTGTGTCTTTGAGGAAACAAAACTGTGTTCCTGTCATGCTTGATGTATGTTCTTTGTTCTGAAATAGTGTATGACCACGCCGTGAACCATGCTTCTCCGGAGTGCTGTCTTCCGTGGTGAAGACTGACTTCCGGGCTAGTCCTCAGGTTGGCTCAATAATGTCACCTTATCTTTTTTTTTTTAACTTTTAATTGAGTTCATAAGTTTACATCAATGTGAGATATCAGTTGTGCATGATTTCTTGACTGTCATCACATAGGTCCTCCTCTTCACCCCCTGTGCCCACCCCCACCCCCACCCCCTTCCCCTGGTAACCACTGAACTGTTTTCTTTGTCCATGTTTTGTTCATATTCCACATATGAATGAAATCATCTGGTGTTTGTCTTTTTTTTTTAAAGATTTTATTTTTCCTTTTTCTCCCCAAAGGCCCCTGGTACATAGTTGCGTATTTTTAGTTGTGGGTCCTTCTAGTTGTGGCATGTGGGATGCCGCCTCAGCATGGCTTGATGAGCGGTGCCATGTCCACACCCAGGATCTGAACCCACGAAACCCTGGGCTGCCAAAGTGGAGCTCGCGAACTTAACCACTCAGACACAGGGCTGGCCCAATGGGGTTTGTCTTTCTCAGTCTGGCTTATTTCACTTAGTGTAATTCCCTCCAGGTCCTTCCATGTTGTTGCAAATGGGATGAATTTCTCTTTTTTATGGCTGAGTAGTATTCCATTGTATATATATATACCACATCTTCTTTATCTAATCATCAGTCAGTGGGCACTTGGGTTGTTTCCACGTCTTGGCTATTGTGAATAGTGCTGCAATGAACATAGGGGTACGTATGTTACTTTGGATTGTTGATTTTAAATTATTTGGGTAGATACCCAGTAGTGGGATTGCTGGATCGTATGGTAGTTCTATTTTGGTTTTTTGAGGAATCTCCATATTGTTTTTCATAGTGGCTGCACCAGTTTGCATTCCAACCAGCAGTGTATGAGGGTTCCCTTTTCTCCACACCCTCTCCAACTTTTGGTATTTTTAGTCTTAGTGATTATAGCCATTTCAACAGGTGTAAGGTGGTATCTTAGTGTACTTTTGATTTGCATTTCCCTGATGTTTAGTGATGTTGAACATCTTTTCATGTGTTTACTGGACATCTGTGTATCTTCTTTGGAAAAATGTCTGTTCGTATCCTCTGTTCATTTTCTGATCCGGTTGTTTGTTTTTTTATTGTTCAGTTGTGTGAGTTCCTTGTATATTATGGAGATTGACCCCTTGTCAGATATATGATTTGCAAATATTTTCTCCCAGTCAGTGGCTTGTCTCTTTGTTTTGATTCTAGTTTCTTTTGCCTTGCAGAAGCTCTTTAGTCTGATGAACTCCCACTTGTTTATTTTTTCTTTTCCCTTCTTTTTGTTTCCCTTCTCTGAGAACACATGGTATTTGAAAAGATCCTCTTTATTTCGATGTCAGAGTGTACCATCTATATTATCTTCCAGGAGTTTTATGGTTTCAGGACTTATCTTCAAGTGTTTGATCCATTTTGAGTTTATTTTTGTGTATGGTGTGAGAGTGGTCTACCGTCATTCTTTTGCACGTGGCTGTCCAGTTTTCCCAACACCATTTACTGAAGAGACTATCTTTTCTCCAGTGTATGTTCTTGGCAGCTTTGTCAAAGATTAGCTGTCCATATATGTGCAGTCTTATTTTTGGGCTTTCAGTTCTGTTCCATTGATCTGGGTGCCTGTTTTCGTACCAGTACCATGCCGTTTTGATCACTATGGCTTTGTAGTACATTTTGAAGTGAGGGATTGTGATACTTCCAGCATTGTTCTTTTGTCTCAGACCTTAGCAATTTGGGGTCTTTGGTTGCCCCAAATGAATTTTAGGATTCTTTGTTCTATTTCCATGAAGAATGTCATTGGGATTCTGATTGGGATTGCACTGAATCTGTAGATTGGTTTGGGTAGTATGGACATTTTAACTATGTTTATTCTTCTAATCCATGTGCATGGAATCTCTTTCCATCTCTTTATGTCATTATCAATTTCCTTCGGTAATGTCTTACAGTTTTCATTGTATAAGTCCTTCACCTCCTTGGTTAAATTTATTCCTAGGTACTTTATTCTTTTAGTTGCAATTGTCAATGGAATTGTATTCTTGAGTTCTCTTTCTGTAAGTTTGTCATTGGAGTATAGAAAAGCAACTGATTTTTGTAAGTTGATTCTGTACCCTGAAACTTTACTGTAGTTGTTAATTATTTCTATTAGTTTTCCAATGGATTCATATATAGTTTTCTATATATGAGATCATGTTGTCAGCAAACAGCAAGAGTTTCACTTCTTCACTCTCTATTTGGATTCCTTTTATTCCTTTCTCTTGCCTGATTGCTCTGGCCTGGACCTCCAGTACTATGTTGAATAAGAGTGGTGATAGTGGGCATCCTTGTCGTGTTCCTCTTCTCAGGGGGATGGTGTTCAGTTTTTGCCCATTGATTATGATGTTGGCTGTGGGTTTGTTACATAATGGCCTTTATTATGTTGAGGTAATTTCCTTCTATCCCCAATTTGTTAAGAGTTTTTATCATAAGTGGCTGTTGGATCTTGTCAAATGCTTTCTCTGCATCTATTGAGATGATCATGTGGTTTTTATTCCTCAGTTTTTCGATGTGGTATATCACGTTGATTGATTTGCAGATGTTGAACCATCCCTGTGTCCCTTGTATGAATCCCATTTGATTGTGATGTATGATCCTTTTGATGTATTGCTGAATTTGGGTTGCCAAAATTTTGTTGATGATTTGTGCATCTATGTTCATCAGAGATATTGGCCTGTAGTTTTCCTTTTTTGTGTTGTCCTTGTCAGGCTTTGGTATCAGAGTGATGTTGACCTTGTAGAATGTGTTAGGAAGTGTTCTGTCTTCCCTACTTTTTGGGAATAGCTTGAGAAGAATTTTTTGAATAGCTTAAGTCCTCTCTGAAAGTTTAGTAGAATTCCCCAGGGAAGCCATCTGGTCCTGGGGTTTTATTCTTTGGGATGCTTTTGATTACTGTTTCAATCTCTTTCCTTGTGATTGGTCTATTTAGATTGTCTGTTTCTTTTTGACTTAGCTTTGGGAGGTTGTAAGAGTCTAAGAATTTATCTGTTTCCTCTAAATTATCCATTTTGTTGGCATCTAGTTTTTCGTAGTATTTGCTTATAATCCATTGTATTTCTCTTTTCTTTTTAAGGAAGATTAGCCCTGAGCTAACTGCTGCCAATCCTCCTCTTTTTGCTGAAGAAGACTGGCCCTGAGCTAACACCCGTGCCCATCTTCCTCTACTTTATATGTGGGATGCCTACCACAGCATGGTGTGCCAAGCGTTGTCATGTCCGCACCTGGGATCTAAACCGGCAAACCCCGGGCTGCTGAAGTGGAACGTGCACACTTAACCGCTGCGCCACTGGGCCAGCCCCCCATTATATTTCTGTGGTGTCTGTTGCTATTTCTCCTCTTTCATTTCTGGTTTTGTTTATCTGAGCTTTCTCTCTTTTTTTCTTTGTAAGTCTGGCTAGGGGTTTGTCAATTTTATTTATCTTCTCAAAGAACCAGCTCTTTGTTTCATTCATCCTTTCTACTGCCTTTTTTGTTTCAATGGCATTTATTTCTGCTCTGATTTTTATTATTTCTCTCCTGCTGGCTTTGGGCTTTGTTTGTTCTTCTTTCTCTAATTCAGTTAGGTGTAATTTGTGATTGCTTATTTGGGATTTTTCTTGTTTGTTAATGTGTGCTTATATTACGATGAATTTCCCTCTTAATATGGCTTTTGCTGCATCCCATATGAGTTGGTATGGTATGTTATTTTCATTTGTCTCCAGATAGTTTTTGATTTCTCCTTTAATTTCTTCAATGAGCCATTGTTTGTTCAATAACATGTTGTTTAGTCTCCACATCTTTGTCCCTTTCTCAGATTTTTTCTTGTAATTAATTTCTAGCTTTATAGCATTGTGATTGGAAAAGATGCTTGTTATTATTTCAGTTTTCTTAAATTTATTGAGGCTTGCC